TGCACAGAAATTCTTCTTTAATTTCCTTATCTTATATATGTACTAGAGGTGACGCCAATGTACTGCCAAAACTGAAATGTGCTGTCTATATGGATGGCTTGTTCTTGCAAACCATGGTACTGGAGCTGTCTTTCAGTGACCAGAGTGCAATAAAGCCATAAAGGATGTTAAAGCAATTACAGGGTGTTCCACCAGTAACGTGCATGGGACAGTAAAACTGTGATGCAATGTGATTGCATGGAAAATAAATCTTCCTGGAGTTATCACTAGCCAGAGGATCCCTGTAAGGTGATGAGCAGCTTTGGTAAACCCTGAGCTACTTTCTGGAAGCCCACCAGTATAAAACAGTGACATTTTTAATAAGAAGGGACTGGTTTTGTTCTCTTATGCAACTGTAGGCTTTTTACTTATGTTGTGCAAAGACAGTGAGATTTTGTTGTGCAAAGACTGAAAAAAGTGTATATTACTAAGGTTAAGAATTTGTTAGCTAATTCATTTCATAGTTAGTCCTCAGTGAGAAACATCACTGAACAAAGTTTTCTTCTGAGGAATTTTTAAGACTTTACTAGTCTCTATTCAACATTTTGGTGACTGATTTGGAAACAAGCATGACATCCTGACTGGTCAAATCTGCAGTAGAACAAAGACTGATGGAGTGCTGAGTAATACTAAGGACAGGGCAATCATATAGAACAATCTGACCTGCTTGATAAACCGGCCTGATTAACAACAGTTAATTCTAACACACTGAAGTGTGAAGTTATGATTAAAGGAATGACAAATGTATGCTACAATTTGCTCCCCTTACGAAAGGGAAGGCTGTAGTGTGGAAAACAGCAAGTCACCAGCTTATAGAAGACAAGCAACTCAGCAAAAGTCTCTTATGGCAAATGAGGACAACTGGATTCTGCATATAGATACTGGAAAGTCATTTATATGTAAGAATAACAAGGCAATGTTCATCTCCGTATATAGCAATATCAGGGAACGTACCGGTGTCTGTGTTTTATAAAGGGATGACAAAGAGTTGGAGGGAATGCAACAACAGAGCTACAGCTGGATCTAGCTAATAAAGTTCTTTTTCTAATGAGAACTTGAAGGGCTGAATCTACTGGTGATGTAACCATATATTTCATAGGATCGAACCTAGTGAAGAAACGACGGTGATGCAATGGCTTTTAAGTGACTAGGAAAAGATTTAATGAGATTTAACTAATTTCTGGGCTCTGGCCAAACTAATGAGACTGGAAACAAGGTCCTTAATTATTGCTTGAAGATGTTCACCTTCTAGAACATACTTCTGTGAAATGTGAATTCACCATTCCTGATACCTTTAAAAGAAGAGAGGTCCTTTTCCTTCAAGATAGACTGTCAGCCACAGGCAATCAGGATTAACATTTAAGTAACTGCATAGCAGGTAACAGGTCTGACATCTAGCAAGTCAAATAAGATGATCTGATCATACTTTTGGCTTTTGTAAGTCTAGGTAAATAATGTAGTGCAAATACAAAACTATTCACTGTTTTACTTTTTTCTTCTGCAGCCTAATAGGAGCCTATCAGAGCTCATCAACTCAAGAGCTCTGTACAGCATTATAAAATGGATTGAATAAAAAGCACCAGCTGGCAGGCCCATTTAGCAGGCAACAGTGGGAAAACCATGCCCCAGAAAATGTCCCTCAACATTTGGCTAAAGGCTTATCATTACGTACTTGCAAACAAGGATTGCAAAGGCAAAGCATCCAAAGAACCCATCTATCCCCCCAGGCTTAGCTTTAGCCTCTTGAGCTTCGCAGCCCTTCATCACCTCTCCTGAGGGCTCCCAGTCCTATTTGCTGCAGCCTACTGATCTCCTTGCTTAGCCTCCTGTTTCGTTTTCACGGGTGAAAAATTTAAAAAGCCTTCTTCAGGCTTGTTGAATCTTAAGCTAGGCTTTGACTGAGCAAAGCCATGCCCCAGAAAATGTCTAAAATGCGACATGTTATAAATGACTGTAGTCATTTAAAAGAGCCTTTCAATTTGGGGCCATATTCTAGAAGAAAGGTCAAGCACAAAACTATGTGGGAGATACCCCAGCTCCCCCCTGATCCATGAATGGCTGAAGCTGGGGACACTGGTGACAGTATGAAAGGAAATTACTTCTAACCTGTTTATAGCCATAGGAACCATCCCTTGAGATGTTCACACTGACTGTGCAGAGAAAGTGAACTGGTCATAAGAAAAGGCTGACTACAAGAAGACCAACTTCCAGAGTTTCATTCTGGAAGGGTAAATGCAAAGTGAAGAAGACCTGAGAGCCAGAACCTGTCCATAATCTACAAAAAAGGATCTTCTGAGAATCTACCCTCGACAAACCACACTGTAAAAGCTACAACTCTTCATCAGTGCAGAAACGAAAGTGTGACTATATCTGGAGAGCTCCATTATAGCAACAAGGCAGGCATTTCACAGACACCCCTCCCATCCACTGAGACTCCTTCTCCCCTGTATTTTAAAATGAGGAGCTCCACAGAGCACTTTTGTCCTTGGCTGGTATGTCATTACAGAAACACTGTGTCCTGCTCCCTCTACCAGGCTCTTACGATGCTATTTAAAGCTTCAGAGTGACATGACTCAACCAAGCACACTGCGGATGCTTTTATCTACTCATTTGGAAAGCAGAGATAAAATCCTGCACATGAACCTTGAAATGTGACTGGAAGCCATAAAGGCCACTCAGCAGCACCCCACACTGCTACCAAAACCTTACCATATAAACAGAGCCCTTCTGCCATCCAAAGAATTTTAACATTGAAATGTAACCACAGGTGGTTTTAGCAGGCTGCAAATTGTAAATGTTGTGCTCTTTTATACACTGAGAAACTCAACACACTTTTACATTATTAAGCATGCTAAAAATTAGCCAGAGCCATTATAATCCATAATAAAAAACATGGATTATGAATGGTTAAATTATGAGTGGAAAGCAATTAAATACATAACCACTTTTTTCACTAGTACGCTTTTGTATTCAAAATTAATATGCTTGAAAACCCAATGATCATTCATAACAGGTACTCTGGGAGAGTCAAAATCTTGTATTAAGAATTTGTATTCTTACCTTCCAACCTAATCTTTTCAAATCACTACAGAATAAGAAAAAAAAGATACATGCATATGTTGAATTGGCTTAACTTATTTTGAGAGATTTGTCACATGCTGTAAGCATCACTTATTGGTTCTATTTTTGTTAATGTTTTCAATATTACTTTAGTTAATAAAACAGACACCTACGAAGAATTGGGGAATCTCTACCATCTGTTAGTAACTGAGAACTGAATGGTCCACGAGAAACACAAAAAACCTCATTTGGTCTGTAAAGTATTTGTGTGTTTTGTGTTATTAATTTAACCTAGACCGTGAGTTACCTACAAGGAACTTAATCAAAATGAGTTTATTTGTGTATTTGGAAATAAATACTCTTGTATTCTTTCTCTCTATGCTTCTGCCCATACTGGAAAAAACCATGCCACATACTTGTATTGCTGTGACTGTGTGATGCAGGTTTGCATGGCTTTTAGTCTCATGAGGCTATTTCTCTATTGGTTTGTTGTTTTTTTTTCCAAATGAACAAGTAAGGCATCAGCTATTTCTCTATTGTTTTGTTGGTTTTTTTTTTCCAAATGAACAAGTAAGGCATCTTAACCCCAGGGAACAAATGAGGCAGTGAGGCACACAAGAGGAGCTGGAGGATCTTTGCTGTGGGTGCAAGGAAAGGGCTCTTCCATCTCTTGCTTCCTGGGAACAGTGACAGAAGCCTAGGTTTGGCAACCCCTCATCACGGCACATTTGCCCCGATGGGCAAATTATGGGCACGTATGTGCATGTCGGTGCTGGGTTTGGCATGGGGCCCGTCCAAAGCAAATTACAGCTCAGGAGGCATACGTCCTCCTGCAGCAGTTTGCCATGCAGAAGGATGTGCTTGCTATAGCAAACTTCCCCAGAGCTTCCAGGGATCTCTACTGGTCTGCACCTTTCTTGTCTACTTCACAGATGGCACAAGGCTCACAGCAACAGTGCAGGTAATGTAAGTGTTACCTCAATCTCAAGAGGAAAAAAAAAATAACATTCTTGGAGCAGGATATCCTCGTTTGATGCCCTACTGCAAAACATAAAATATTCCTTCTTGGACCGAGATGATGTAAAGCCCTTTTCCTTCTTCCATGTGGGTGCCTCCAAGTTCCACAGGTGCTGAGCTCATGTGCGACCAGCCAACAGCGAGGGCAGGCAGAGCTGATGAGTTCAAGGACCTGCACATACTTGCTCTTGTTTTGAGGGGGATTAAAGCCAGCAGAGTGTTGTTCTGTTCAGTTTGTATTTCTAGTCACTGTGCCACCACCAGTCACACCAGGAGCGGGAAGAGCGAAGGGTAGCCAAGAAGCAGCGGGAAAGAGCACAGACGAGCTTGGTGGCCAAAGAGTGGAGAACTCCATCAATAGTTACTTTTGCTTTCTTGGTTGATCTGTGCCCACAGGATGCCATGTGACACGTGCCTGCCCTTCTCTAAACACTTGCCTACAACGTACCACAGATGCAGTCACAAACCTGCCCCACAGGCTGCTCCTTGCCTCACCACTGCCTCGCAAACACAGAACACAAGCCGTGTTAATAAAATCTGCTTTTAATGCGGTCTGCCCTGAAAATGTTAGACTTAAACATTTCAAACTCTTTCTCAAGGCAACTAGCACCATGCTCATAGCCATCTTAGGACTTTCTTCCTCATGACTGTCCATCCTCTGTAGCATACGAGTTGTACTCCAATGTCATAGCTGAATTGCAATGAATTGCTGCAGTGAAATTCTTTGGATTAAAAAGTTTCTCTTCGGTGTCTTATTTGTTGATCTGGGATTGCCATCAAGTAGGGTTGAGTAGGAATCCTTCGAAACCTACTGGCCAACCATAAGGGAGCTTCAGTCTCCTGGTGAATTAAAGGAACACAAAAGCATCCTCCCTTTTCTGACATTATTTCCTTTTCTGCTTTTTCCGTGCCACTCCCGTGTGCAAGGCCTGCATAATGAGGTCCTCATTATTCAGGATGTTGTATTCACCCAGCTGAACCAGACGGTCATACGCCTTCTCGGTGTATTGGATTGAATATGTTGAATAAGGGGAACAGCGGCCGTAAAGATCAACTTTGCCATCTTCCATCTCTGACTCTGAGCGCCTCTGACCTAGGAGGAAGGGGAGAGAGATGGGAATTACTCTGGTCATAAGCAAACAAAGTCTCAACAGAGCAGGGAAAGGAGATGTCTCTCCACAGAGAGAGTTCATAATCTAAATTACTCTTGTGGGTTTTTTAAATTATTTTTTAAACTTTTTTTTTTTTTCCAAACTGAAAACTCAGTCCCTTGCTTGGGTGGATACCAGGTGTTTCACATAATGAGGGGAGAAAACTGGTGATTATTCCTTTTACATGGGTCTACACCGCAGTTGTGAGCTGTGCCTGTGGCTCACGTAGGTACAACAAAGTTACCTGCAAACTAACTTGGTTGGGGATTGAAACAGGACATAAAGGACAACAAATCTGACTTGGTAAAACAACTAACTTTAAGCAACAGAGAGGTTTGATGTATATAAATGAGCCAACAGTGAAGTTTAAGTGTTGGAGTATTAAATACACTCCCTTTAATTGGGAGTTGTTGTGGATGCCCCATCCCTAGAAGTGTCCAAGGCCAGACTGGATGGGGCTTTGAGTAATGAGGTCTGGTGGAAGCTGTCCCTGCCCATGGCAGGAGGGTTGGAAATAGATGATCTTCAAGGTCTCTTCAAACCCAAATCATTCTATGATTCTATGATTTAATAAGCTAGCTGTGATGTCAACCTTTTTTTGACGTGCTTGATTACTTACCTGGTGCTTTGTATTTTTGGAAGGTATCATTAATTAGCGGGAAAAATACCAGTACTGGTGCTCCTGGAGTCTCAGCACCATCAAAGAGGTAACACTCCTTCAGGTTTTTCCTCTCTTCTTCACTCAAGTCCACTCTGGGAAAAGGGATCCCCTGCTCTGAGCAGTACTTGCAGGTCTGGTCCAGAGCCTGGATCAATGAACAGAACAATACAAAGACTCAAAGAGGATTTCAGAGCTCAGGATTTCTTAGATTCCAGTGACAAAGGGGGCATTCTCCAAGCTGGCTGTGTGAAAGCTCCGAAACCCCTATTGGAAAGCACTGCATCAGTGGAGAGGTTTTTGTTTTCCCTGTGTTATTATCATAAAACAGTTGTATCATTCAAGAAAAGCAAGTGAGAATATGTACAACCTATAAATGAACTATTACACTGCAGCATTAAGCTAAAAATGCTAGTGGTTAAGACTTTTAGCAGGAGCAATATAGAAAGCACCTAAGTGTTAAAAACTTCCAGGTATGCAGCTATTGAAGAAGACATAGAGACTGCTTCAATTCCTCTCACCTGTATCTGGGATCCTGCACTGTAATTTAAATGCAGGATGACATCCACCTTTCTCTCTGGTTTCAGAAGTGGCATGATGCTTGTATTGATGAAAAATCCTGTATCCACCAGGGACAGGAATTCCTCCGATTGTGTCAGCTGGTTGGGAAACGTGTCCAACACAGTATCTAAAAGGAAGGATATTTCTTGCTGTAAGTGCAATAGTGCAAAAATGCTTAGCCTGCTTTTCTCTCTTACACCAAGACCACTGAGCCCTGACTGGTTACCGTTTTTGGGGAAGGGGCATTCGCTGTAAACCCTTCTCTTTTACCCTCCTAGCTTCAGCCACATGCAGTTTTGGACCTGCAGTGGCAACATTCATGAAGGGGGTTTCTTTTTTTTTTTTAAGGTTGGACACTATGATCTCAGAGGTCCCTTCCAACCATGGTGATTCTGTGATCTGTGATTCTGTGCCTCCCCGCTGAGTGTGCCTTCAAATAGATAAAGGGAGGACCACCATAAGGACCTCGTGCCCCTGCCCACCAGGAATCATGTCCCACCAACTAACCATTGGCGGTGATTCTGTGCCTCCCCGCTGAGTGTGTCTTCAAATAGAAAAAGGGAGGAGCACCATCAGGACCTCGTGCCCCTGCCCATCAGGAATCATGTCCCACCAACTAACCATTGGCATGGACCTCAACACCATGCCATGCTACATCCCAGTGTGCCTCAGCTGACTGATCTAATAGTGATTCTGCCCAACCACGGCCTCTAATCTTGGAGAACAGTTTTAACATCAACCCTGGGGTTTCATTTTGTTCTGCTTGTTTATCCTCTCCCCGGGCACCCAGGCCTTCTGTTACCTTTCCATCTGCAGAAGTGCTTGTTCTCCAGGTAGTCGTTATGCATCTGGAAACCCTTTAGGAAGTTGTGCTCCTGGGCAATGCAGGGGCGGTCGGTGAGGGCGCTGCGAAGAGCGCTGCCGAGGGGGCCGGGAGGGGTGAACACGCGAGTCCTCAGCTCGTGCAGCTTCAGTGGTAGGAGGGGTTCCTCCTCTGCACAGGGAAAGGCTGTTAAATTCTACCTGCCCAGAGCGAGGTCATCCCCAAGATGTCAAAGTTGAGTAATAAAAATCAGTGTTTTCTTTATTTGAAAGGCTTGGGGTGAAAAGACTCGATGAGCGCAAGTGACCAAATGAAAAAGAAAATAAAATGCTACTCTTACCAGCCAAATACCATTTCCTTACAGAGGTGAGAGGTGGATAAAAAACAAGACCCAGTATCAGGCAGCAATAAAAATGTGCACCACACATACACACACGTGTGGAACAGACTGAATGCAAGCTTTGGAAAAAGATGATGATTGTACTTATTTGCTTAACAGTCGCTCCTACTTAATGTAGTCAAAATCTTTTTGCTTTATTAATCATTTACAGATTCATCTTAGTATTTCTGAACATTTTACTCATCTGTCAACATCGGTGTTGAACCCTCAGTGAGCACATAGACCCCCGGACTGGAGATTTTTTAATTATCCAATTATGCTTTGCAGTATGAGACTTTGAATCCAATTCCTTCTAGGAAGGTAATGTGGCCTTTGAAGAAGCACTCCAAAAATGCCAAATATATGGTGCATATCTCACATAGCAGATGGCATGTGGTGGTTTATCTACCATTAACTCTATCTAACAATAAATATACATTAAGGAAGAAGTATGATAATTTACCTATATTGTCGATTTTGTCCCGGGTCCACCTGTGCCAAAAGTCTTCCGAGGAATGCGACAAATTCCAGATATATAATACATTCAATGAAAATAAACTACTCCATATGCCTGTAAAAGGAAAGAGCTTTCTAACTCAAACATTCACACATCACGAATTGCAAAACTGTTATCACGAGATTAAATTTGTGAGGTTCATACTTTTCTTTAGTTTGTTTTAAATGGATGATATGCCATTTTTATTTGGCTGACACCTTATTTTGGTGTCTATTTTCTGTTTTATGGTACTGAGGGCTGGATATATATTTTAATGAGTGGTGAGATTTTTGTGAATTAATATGACTTAAGGATCTTGGGTTTTCAGAAAAAACCCTCAAGTATCACAAGGCTTGTATAAAAGGAAATGATGAGAGTTTGCAATCTGAGAGATTTGATGGGGAACGATATTGATAAGGGTCTAACTACAATGTGATCTTACAGCCTCTGCATTTCATAGAATCATAGACTGGTTTAGGTTGGAAGGGACTTTAACGATCATCTAGTTCCAACCCTCCTGCCGTGGGGAAAAGCCTACTAACACACCGAGGGACCAGTTTTGACCATGCATTTTCAAACCAGAGAAACAATTTCCCTGCTTATCCCTTAGGGCACAAGTTCTCAGTGGTTTCTCGTTCAGGACGTGCAAATGTATGTCTGTTCAGCACAGGCTTAGGCTGAAATAGCTCAGTGTCTCCCTCACTCTAAGTGAAGCAGCCATTCAAAGACAAGTTTGCATCTCAAACCAGTCACAAGTTGCCAGCTTGTCTCTTGGTCTGGAAAATGTGTATCCATGTCCCACTTCAGTCAATAGCAAAAATGCTCCTGGATATGCCTGTGCTGTTTTCCCCTCAGGCTTGCCCAGGAAATGTGGAAACTGGAGCCAGTGATGTGTGGCCAAAGCAGATGCTCAGGAGTAGGGGGGATCCTGGCATGATCAAACACACCCCCATGCAGTGGAGAATCAGCATGGAGGCTCACTTAAACTGTCTATAAGAAGCACACAAATTGCTGACTACCTGTGATACAGGCAAGAGGCTCTGGAGTTCAGCCTTCTAGAGTAACATCAGCAGAAACCTGGATTCCCATGGACCTAAATTTTATTTTTGGACTGGAAGCAGTACTGTATTTTTACTAAAAACTAGCTTTAAAAATTAAAATAACTATTTGTCTGTCACTTTGAATTCTCTTTTTTACAGTAAACTGAATTCATTATAGTAAGTATTAATTCAGTGATTTATCTTTTTATCCTCTCCTGTGAAACTGCCCTGTCCGTCACGCACCAGTGCTTTATTAGTGCTTAGTATAATAGCTCATAATTAAAAAAAAATTATTCAGATATTTTTAAGACAATATCTTACCTTCTAAAAAGCAGATCCTGGATTCAGGGACCTTCTTCATCAACCGACCCATGAAGAACTCACTGCCAAAATCCTCAGTGCGAACAAAAGCTCCGTATTTTTGCAATCCCACCTCGTAGGGGGTGAACTCCACCCATTCTGTGAAAAGAAACACAGAGAAGAGAACTATGTTTTATAGCAGCTATCATGCTAATGAAAGGAGTTAAAAATGAAAATAATTTCTGCACTTAAGTCTAATATTTCAGACCAATAGCAATGAGTTATAAGCATGAACATGAAAAGTCTTTGGATTATTTTTGAGTCTGTTGCATAGGCAGTTCAACTTTTATCTGACCACAAGGACATTACAGAAATACACATCATCTGTGGTTCTGGTCTTTAAATGAGAGGACTTTTTTCAGACTATCTAAAAAGACTGTCTCAGGATTTACCAGCTTAAAGACAAACGACTCTCAGAGTTTTCATAATTACCTTTGAAATCCAGAGTGCTGTAGTTGTTCTTGACATTGACTGCAGTATAGATAGGCAATGGGTTCTGACCACGATCAATGGCCCGTTGCTGATCAGAGAGTCTATGGTTGTCCTTCTGTGATTCCAGAAACACGGTTACACTGAGACAAAAACTAGCACAGGAGCGTTTTCTCTGCGTCTAAGCTTGTAGGGCAGAAAAACGCCCTCTAATGCTTCTAATGCATAACCAATGCTGGGCTTAAATTCTGAAATGTTCCATATTTTTCAAAATTCCTGTTAGCATTTTGTCACTGCAATATCTGCAGGCATCCAATATGATGCCAGATTATTTGATGAGCCATTAGGATGAAAACAGAAGGAAATGATGAAGAACAGAAAGCAGTACTTTTGGTATAAACCAGCTTAACGTGTTATGCTGCAAGTTTATGTAAGACCTCTCACATATTTCAAAAGTCTGCAGGTCCATTTGTTAATACCTCTTACAGACATTAAGGTAATGTCTGTAATTTTGCTATTTCTAAATAAAATAATTGCAGAATATGAAAAAAAAAGTCTTAAAATACAATATTTTTTCAATATGACAATCTTGAAGTTTTCTCAGAAAAACATATCCAGAATCTCACAAGCAAGAATGCTGATTTCCACCATGGTTGGATATCTCTAAGGCTGCCACCACATGTTTTGGAAGCAGCTGTGCATTTGCATATACACAGTCTTGTAACAAACTGCTTTTCTCAAAACAATCAGGAAAATATCTTCTCCAGAAATAAATTTTCAGAAAATTGTAAGCCACTGTAAATGCTGCTTTATGACATACTGTACCCCATCATGCAACAAAGATTCCAGGACAAGGCCCCAGAGATCTATAAAAGACGTTTTGCGGCCCTCTCTTTTCCGTTGACACAGCTGCTTTCTGTAATACTTCAAATACTCCAAGGAAAGGGAATTTATTTTGCATTTTGTCATATGTTTTCGAGCCTCACTGATTTGATTGTCGAGATCCTTTTGTGACCAGTCAGCATCCCTGTACAAGTTTGACATGGTCCTAAGAAGAGGAAATATATATTGAAGAGATAAAAACCACACTAAGGTTTGAAGTAGGCAATGGCTACATTTTACATTTCTGTTTTAAGTTCTTGATTTGAAATTAAGTAAACATTTCCTGTTTTCAGTTCCCCAAGAAACTATCATATTCCCTTTGAAGTCACAGTCATTGTCCCTGTCAAAATGGCTTGAGCAATTTGTTTTCATGCTGTTGCAAATTATGTGACCTTCCCCCAGAAAAAGACTTCAGTCTGCCCCAAGAAAAGACTTCGGTCAGTTTTGAAAGATCAAAAACATAGGACTACTGAGAAGGTATTATAGGTAGACTACTGCATGTCCCCAGCCTATTTCAGTGCATCGGTGTCATATTTTGAAAGATCAAAAACATAGGACTACGGAGAAGGTATTATAGGTGGACTACTGCATGTCATCCCCAGCCTATTTCAGTGCATCGGTGTCATCAGGAAGAGTCCAGCCAAGAGCTTCCCAGCCTTACTTACCATGTAGTACCAGACAAGCCAGTCAAGTATGTGGCACAGTCCAAGACATTGAGTTTCTTGAGCCCCCGCAGGCTGCCGTACAGCGCGGTCAAAGATCTCATCCCTCCTCCTGTGGTCATGATGGCCACCACCGGGGTCTGTGCAACACATGAACGGAAAGAGCGGGCGTCAGGCAGAGGACTGCAGCTGACTGTGGCTCTCAGCCAAGACTACACCAAGCCTGACATCACCACACATGCCCAGACACCCACTTCTTTCTACCGACACATAAGCTACTATTTATTTCGTAAAGGAGAACAGGAATAAAAGTGATAAATTTTTTTTTCTCAGGTAACTGACACTTGTCTCCAGTGTGTTCAATGGAGAAGTTTGGTAAAAAGGAAATGAAAAATGCATCAGTTCAAACCAAAATAGACAGTATGAGAGAAAAAATCAGTTGCAAAGGCAGGAATTAAAAAGAAATCTCACAGTTTAAGAGAGGAGGAAGGATTATCAACAGGGATAACAATGACATGGTAAAGACCGTGGAAGAAGAAATTTCTATATAAGGAAATCTAGCCTGGCTTGCAATGAAAGTGTAGCAGGAGAAAAGTTAAACTTAGGATAGCAACTACAAAGGACACAAATGGAAGGGTGAGATTAGAGGTATGGAGCAGTATCAGAAGTGTAAATAAGTTTAAAGATGAGGAAAGAAAAGAAAAAAAATTAAAAGGGAAGAAAAAGAGGTCATACTATGCTGTTAGGTCCCCACTGCTAAGATTTCATTAGATGTTTTGAATATTTGCCCTACAGACCTCATGGTCCAAGAGATCCTGGTCCAGTTGCAGGACCTTCTTCAGAGCAGGAGCAACATACTTCTTCCTTTTGCATAGAAAGTCTTGCTCCTGCACGCAGAGGTCAAACCCTAAACGCACATCAAGGTGGTCTGGGCTGGAGAAGAGATCAGGAAAAAAGAATATTCTGTTCTGTTGTTGATAGACAAGCTCAGAGTTTCCAATACAAGGAAATCAACCAGATCCACAAAGCTCTGCATTTACAGGAGGAGCCTTTCCTACACTCCCAAGCAGATACACAGTGTTGCATGAAGGAATGAGGGAAAGAGGGACCACTAAATTTCTAAGCAGCTATCAAAAGAAAGGCATTCCTGCAGATAATTTCTGAGACGGCTGTTGTCTGGATTCTCTCATATTTTAGTCTGCATTGAGAGCTGTACAAAAAAATGCTCACATTTGTCTTGAAGTAGGCAGCAAAGTTTATCTACATCATGACCAACAGCACAGGTGATTGCTTTGCACTCTTACACAGAGATAAAGAAAAAGTTAAAGACTGTGCTGAGCACAACTGGTTTGTAGTATTATTTCTTCTATTTTATGCATCTTTTTAATTAGGCATGTCTTGGTATGGATTTTCTACATGTATTGTCAATTCTACAGATATAGCTTGCTTTCTGTTCATGTGAATTCCACACACACTTGGTCACACAACCTCCTGTCCTATTGTGAGTGCCTCCTCCCCAGTAAAGAGCAAAGGGTGAGATGAGCTCAGCTGAGGATGAGTTAGCCCCCAAGAGCAGCCAAGTCTCTTACCAGTCTTCTGCCTTTGCATATAAACCAAATCCTTTATCCTGGAAAGCAAGAATGCAAACAGTGTAAGTGTGACAACCTGCTTTAGCACTCCTCCCCTGCAGCCCCAGGAGGAATTTTAGCTTGTGCTGTCCTAGCAATGCAGGCACAAATTGAGAGCTGTGAATATTCCAGCAGCGTACGTGAATTAACCACAGTGGTTTATTGTAACAGATGTTGGTCAGTAATTCCCAATGTTTTCTAGTGAATGTAAGGTCTGAGGACAGGTGCTGTTTATAGAGGAAAGTAATGATAATATATACTTTACCCATCCCTACTAACATTACCTCTCTTGGGCAGCCAGTCAGGCTGCAGCCATGCTACTACTCTACACAGCAGCATTTTCTCCTCCCTTTCTGTGGCTTATAACCCACAACAGGTGTGATCCTTTCATTCTAGATGGATTTTTTTTTAACCATGAATCTAAAAGTGCTTTGCAAAGCATGGCCAGCTTCAGGAAGAGACTGGCACTACCTCAGTTAGTTCAGGTGCCCCACTGACATGTAAGAAGAAAAGCAGAGCTTCAAAATTTAGAATGAATTAAGATGAAGATGGAGTAACAAGGATGCCCTGTATTCCCACTCACCTCTGCTAAGGTCATCTTTTTTCCACTTGGAAAGGAATGAAGTTCCACGTTTGGAGAGCCTGTATTGAACACATGGGAGGGCTGAAAAGATACAAATTATATCCAAGTTTATATTTTAAGGAATCTTATTTTCTTTCCACAGTGCAAATTATGTTACTATTTATGTTGCATGTTACTTCACATGCCATTATTACGTTTTATAAAGTCTGGTTATAACATACAAAGGAGGGAGGTCGTTTATTCCCTGGTAGCGTAACATCCAGCGTTGGCTGCTTGTATCTGGCATAGTGGAATTTGGCAGGAGAGGAGGAGCTGAAGGCCAGATCAGATCCCAACATGATGTCTTGGGTGCCCTCATAAGAGCCTTGAACTTTGAAGGAGAATTCTTTCTCTAAGGAAGTGACACAAAAGGAGACACAGAGTAGTTTTCTCATCAATGTTGGAAACAGAGACTATCACAAGGCTGTTCTCATGCTTCAGATTTGTTTGGGTTTTTTTTCTCTCTTATATTAAGCCAACTGCCTTCATAATATTAAAACATCATGATTTAAAAACAGCTGATGCAGAAATAACCTCACTTGATACAGATTTCTTCTCCTTTTTCTTCTTCTTCTTCTTTTCAACCACCTGGACTTCCAAGCAGCAGATTTTGCGAGACTGTAAGAGACATGAATAATAAAATACTTCATGGCAGGGAATTTTCAGTCTGAGATCCTGCTTCCTAGTCCAAGCTCCTAGTGATGATGATAGAAATGCTATACAGGCAGTGCACTTTGTTGCAAGGAAGATTTTCTCTCAGCCACAACCTTGATTTCAGATGCTGGATAGAACAGGAGTCGTCTCTGATAAACTGGATGCAGCCAGGGCAAGGCTCGGGGCAAAGCTTGCAGAAGGGAGAAGGTAAGGGCAAAATGAAAACCAGCATCCCAACAGAGATGCAGAGGACTGATTAAAACAAAAATAACAAGGAAACAAAGCTAATAAATGAGCAAATGGTATGTTCAGAAAGTTCCTGCGTAAAAGGGCAGTTATGACTGCAGGAAATGGCTTGTGTTTGGGACAGGACAAACCCCATCATTTCGGCAATATGGGAGCTCATGAGGATTGATGTCTAAGGATGAGTTCACTGCTGCACCCATGTCTCAGACCTACACCAATTCCATGTGTTGCCTTTGTAACACCAGACGGTTGCTAGCATGGGGAATATCCTGCTGTTCCAGCCCCAGCCTCTCCACAGGCACCATCCACAAGGATGTGTCGTGAGGTGGGTGATGAAGTGGGAAATCACTGTGTTTCAGTCAAAGGGTATGATGGCCTAATGACTGTGAGTCGAGTGAAGCAAGTGTGGCAACAGGACAAGAAAGATGACAAAACATGACACTCACCACTAGTACTCCATTAGTAATGATGGTTTCAGGAGGGCCTGAACTAGGAAATAGAAAGAAAAATACATTCTTAATAACTCAGTCTAATTACAGTGTAATTAATGACCCACACCCTTCTCCTGATTTTCCTCTTGCTTATTTTTGGCTGTCTATTGGATTTGAAAGAAAGGTCCCAGGAGACTTGTGGTACAAGTTTCCTCTCCCACTCTACTCTGTCAAGGCACAATTGTCATCCTACTGGCTTGTCCAGTCCTGGAGCTCAGCAAAAAAAAAAAAGGTACTGTGGGGCCAAACTGTGTAGTGATTTTATGCTGAGCCCCAAGCTGTCTGCAGATGGTTTCAAGGAATCCAGTTCTTTAAAATTTGCAGTTTATCAGAGGACGGGACAGAAAGGGCTCTAGATCAAAAATCCAGTGTGTTATTCCATGTTGTGCTTTGAAGGGAGGCAAGGCCCCCTGTTGAGCTCAAAGACAAACGTGTAACAGAACAACAGTGCCAGTATTCTGTTCTTATATAGTATTTATTACATGAGGCAAAGAAAAGGTTTTAGGGTGTTCTCCCTGTCTGCCAGGAGGTCATCCTGGCACAGACCAATTAATCACAAAGCTCATAGCACAGGTTCCTCAGGAAACCATGTTCATCATCAGCATTGTCAAGAAATGATGCACTCTGGACAATTATAATAGATCATTTTGTGCCTCTAAATTGCTGTTTCTTTTTGCTGCATGCTATGCTGCATGCCATGTTTACTCACATATTATCCAATGCAAATCCCACCTCAAGCTCCTCTTGTCTCTGGAAAATAAAGAAAGGAAAAATGTTTTTGGCCCTCATCTACTGGCAGTTCTCATAATGCAAGTTGTCACGCTTGCAATATAGGTATGTTTGCAAAGAGAAAGAGGCTCTGTTGAGGAGAGCAGCCAAAGCCACCTGATGTGAGAAGGTGAAATGGTGATAGACAAAGCAGCTGTAGAAGAGGACAACGGCTTTGCCTGGCAAGGTGTTGAGGACACTGGGGCAGAGGTACATCTAATATTAAGGCCTGGTCTGTGGGGCAGTGGAGAAGAGTATAATCCCTAGGTGGAAGAAAGCACAGGAGAGGGGAAAACAAAGGAAGGGACAGAATGGATGATGAACAGAGAAGTGAGATCATGCTGTAGATTACTTAGTTGCTCAAATTACCTATTGCATTAAAGACAGCAAAAAGTTATTTATATAGGACACAAAAAATTACAAAGGCTTGAAGAGTGTGAGCTCTAACTACTGTAGGCGTGCAAATACAGTAATGAAAGGCTTGGATATGGCACCTGTAACCGCTCAGTAATGAGCCAGGTTGCAACTAGCCAAATGTTTCTGTTTCACCAAGGGCTAGTGGAAGCCCACACCTCCTCTGGTATTTTGAAGAGAAAGAAATGGTCAAATAAAGCATTTAAAAATAAAGAACTGCAGAGTGGAGTTTGGGTGTGTGTAGATAAGGTAATTAATCAACTGAATGGTGCATGACAGATGCGCAAGAGACCGGGAGGGAACTGGAAAAGGAGAAGGATGGACAGAACATATCAGGAAGTGAGAAGTGTGATTTTTAGAGCCCCCCTGGACATTTGAAATAGGAATATTTCTTGTTGCCAAGCTGAGTGACATGCCTTAGACACCTTATTTAAACACTTGTGCCATAGTCCATAATTAGCAACTGGTCTGGTTTGACACTTGGTTCTGATCATAAAGTTATTACTTCCTAATTACTAGGTTAAGTAACAAGTTATGACAAAAAAGCATCTTCTTGGTCCTCAATGGGGGCAGGCTCAGCAAAGGGACAATTTTGCAAAGACACCTGAAGTTTGTGAGCCTCTGTGGCCAACACTAAACCCTTCAGTGTGCCGACAGATCCAGGTGTGAAGAAGCTTTCCCATCTCAGAGTGAAAAACAACTCCCTTTTATGTGGCTGGGCAGTCCATACAAAAGAAGGAAAAGAAGAAAGACTTTGCAAATAATATTTTCAACAGAAAACCAGACAAACATGTTCTTGCCAATCTACTCTATTTCTTATTTCAAACCTCACCTGTGAATCGCACGTGAAGTGCATGAAGACTCGGTCTCCCAGGGAAAGTTTGGCTATATCGAAGTACACCGTGAAGAGGTGGTCATCTTGAGTAATCACATCTTTATCGTAGAGCCCCAGTTCCAGGACATTCTGCGAAGGGAAGGGAAAGACTTTAGAAATGTGTCAGGTTTCTTTCATAGCAGGAGATCCTGGGCCCATCTTTTTTAGTCAGCTTTTGTGAGGAATGAACTCCTCACAAAAGCTGACTAAAAAAGCTGTCCCAAGAAAGTTAAGTTTATTGTCCCCAGAAAGCAAAGAAACAGAGCAGGAAGGGAAGGAGGTGGAGAGAAAATTAACTCCATATAGGCATCTGCCTAGGAGGAGGAATGAGGGGGCTTCAGAGACATCTCAAAGGTCATATTCTACCTGTGGCTGAGAGAGATACTTGTCTTTCATGGCATGGAAAAACATCATAAGGATGTGTGCTATTCTCATCATTCCTTGCCTCTTGAGAAAATTACTTATGTCCCCTTTGCAAAAGGATAGAACCTGGCAGTTGCTCCCTAGGTCACGGTTAACAGGGAAGTCCCAGCTCAGTACCTTGACCTGACTCTGGATCCTGAAGTAGAAGGTTTCATTCCAAACTGGATCTTTGCAGTTCTTGATGGTTTTAGTCTGAAATTTGTCAGTTGAAGCAGTCGGTAGCCACAGGCTCACATAGCAATCAGTCTGGCTTACTGTATGGTAAAAAACACAAACACATCTAACCTGAAGATTTGCTCTAAAAGAAAGAATGAACTGAACAACATGAAGCTTTGTTTTCAAAGAGAGAGACTATGATACATGATGACATACTTGTCTAAAATAAACATTACAATTTAGGTAATAGGAATGGAGAAAATAGAAGAGGGCCATGATTATTCTCTGAGTAAATATAATTAGACATATAGTACATGCATTAAAAACAAAGGTGTTTCTCCTCCTCCTGTTTCATCAAGCGATCAGTTTAGCCCAGAATAAAATAATTCAGGAAAAACATAGCAACACATATCTGCAAGGGTTAAGGAAACAAAAATGTTAGTTTCCATTTTAGCCAGACAAAACATTTAAAAGAAAAACACCCAAAACACAGGAAAAAATGTTTCTTGATTCCTGCATAAGTAGAGCTATAATCTTCTATTATATTTCAGTTGCAGGCCACCAGAAGTGAATCTACAAAATTAACAACACCCAACAGCTGGTTAGCTTTTACACAGGCAACCAGCACATCTAATTTGGATTACTTAGCCTTGAGAAAGCTTTAAGCACAAGCTAAATTTGAGATAAGGCTACTTTGTTGTCAGTATTTGCGCCATTACCCCAGCCACTTCGTGTCCTTTGTTATATGGATATACTCCAGAGGAAAATACAAGACATCTTTCCTCATTTCTTGCTTTCAACAGACTGCAGAGCTTTCCTTGCTGCCTTTGGGGATGCAGAGAAATAGGTGCAATAGGTACAACTGTGACCTTATAGAGTCACCTCTACACGGAACAGGGCTGATGCAAAGAAGTGCAGCACACCATGTTCTTTGCTGAGACCAGTTTGCCAGGGAGGGGACTTTCTCCATCCACGCAAGAAATCTAGAAAGCACTTTTTCTTGGAGCAGGACTAGCTAGTACCCCATGAAGGTTAAGAGGACCATACAGAGCACTGCAGATACTTACAGACATCTGCCCGGTGGATATTCCTGGCTCTTATCACTCTTATAGTCAGTAAGTAACACAGAGATGATTCTATCTGCAGGGAAAAAAAAAAAAAAAAACAACATACAAAAGATAGGAATAAATGCTGAAGGTGGATAGTATATTTAGAAGACAGAAATGATCAGGAGAGAGAAATACCCAAACCATGAACAACTTAGTTTAATTTTTCTATGCGACTATGAAATGGCCAATACATTTATTTTCCTACTAGTATCTAAATCAAGTACTGGACTGAAAGGCTTCTCTACTCTTACAGCATGATATCTGGATTTGTATTACTACAACATAATAATATTGTAATAATTTCTAATGAAAACCTACCCGCATAAAACAGTAAGATTCAGACTTAGCTTGGGAGAGGATTTACTTGTTAAAATTCCAAGGTAGAAAGTGAAAATCCACCTCAGGCTTTTTACAAGTTATAAAACTATCATTGTGAGAATCACCTCCCACCCTGTTATTACACATGTTAAGCTCCTGGGCCATGGGATATGATTTTCTGATGTTCCTGCTCTTTTAAATGTACAGTGGTTCCCAGAGTTAAATGCTGACCTCTGATGCCCACACTGCTTCTAGTGTCACAGGAAGATGCTCTGCATTTCCATCATGCCATTCACAATACATGTGTTTTCATTTATGGTGGGATAACTGTCTTTCTTCAGCTGAGCTCAACTCTGACTTTTTCTTGTGAGTTTTCCTCATGAGAAGTTTTTCTCTAGTTTTGAAACATGTAAACTCTTCATGTCTGGAACTTCTTTGCCCTTTTTTGCATAAGAAGCACAAGAAACCTGTTTTACTCTTGATATTCCCTTAGGCCTCACTCTTTCTTATTAGCCCATGTCTCCCACATTAAGGCCCGATGCTTGACTTCATGGTCTCTCATATTGCAGTTCTGGTCTCATGTTGGAGCCCAAATGCTATTTTCATCCTTCCATATCCCTTCTTTTACCATAAAACAAACACATAAATACCATTAATCTCCATTTCCAACTAACTTTTTATTTCTGGAGTAATTTCTGTGGGGAAATGACACAGTATGTTGGAAGAGAAATCAGCAGGAAAATTTTGTTACAAAAGTTCTAAAAAGCAGAAGTCATTTAGTGCAACTATGGGGCCACAGACAAGTAATGATACCACATCCTGACTCCACCTATACTGAAAAATGACTATAAAAGGACCAGTCCTGAAATGGCATTAACATAATATGTATTAACATAATAAATAATACTGACCTCATTAGTCCCACTGAGAAGGAGAGGTAACACAGGGACTGCAGGAAAGAAGAGCAGTCCTTTTGCTCTAGTTGGCCTGTCTGAGTAATAGGATTTTTTACATGCTGTGTTAATAATGTGCTGTGCTCATAGTGTGCTGTGCACTTTTACCATCTGTAAAAAGTGAAGTGCATCGGTACCTACAGGCTCGATGGAATATATATCCACATGGTTTCTCTCATAATGTTAAACCTGAGTGTATTAATGCATGCAACCAGGGCTAATGAATATATGTTGTCCAGACTAGGGGCAGTTAGCAAGTTGGCTAATGAGGAACCAGGTAAGAGTAGCTTTGAGGTAACCAGAGCACCTCATCCTAGGAAAAGGCACCAAGCACATTCCTGCTGTTCGGCTGCACAGCAGGTGACTGAGTGCACAAATCAAGGATGTCAAACCACTGCTAAGGGTCCAAAGAGTAGCTGTGGATAAGATCATCAAAGACACTTGTATTTGTGTCTAAAACCTAACTCCTAAGGCACAGAAATAAAGCAGGTACAGGTGGAAAGTGTTCAGTAATTACAGAGCTGGTGGCTGGTGCTGCCAATGGCTGGCTTTGGAGAAGGCACTTCCTCGGAAGGGCTCAACTCAGTTTCATGGATCGGGTGCCCTGGAGCCTGAGTCCTGGCCTGTGGCTGTCCCAAAGCATCAAGGAAGGATCTCAGATTGGACAAAGTACTCAGGTCTGTAACTATGACCAGTTATAACCAGGGAGTCTTGGCTTAGACACCACAGAGGTATATATAACAAATGGTCAGTTTTGCCTACAAAAGCTTGGGAGATTTGGTTTGTCATTCTGAACCTGCTATGATCCTTGCAGTGTAGAGAGTTCCATTTTAGGGTATATTTTTCCATCTTTGGGTTTTCCATTCAACTAACCAACGGAAAGGGTTGACTGTTCCCTAAACCATAAGCACAACATTTGTTGCTCAGCAATTTAGCTCAAAACAGAACAAGGGCCAGTTCTTAATTATTACCAAATGGCCTCAAACTAGAGAGAACAAAGTAAAAAAATATTTTTTCATCAAATTTGGTCCTCGTTTCCTAGAGGAGAGATTTCACATAATGTGCCCGAAGTCTCCTGGAAAACTATTAGGTTTTGGTAAAGGCCAGAAGAAGGATTAATCTAGGAAATCAGGTGTTGAAAATCCACTTCAAGATTGTTCCATACTCCTTGTGGGAGTGAGTGGCACAACTTGACAACTATTGCTACCTGCACTGGCAGTAAATTTGCCCTTGTGCTTTAGCAAGATGTATGTAGCTGAAAGACGATTCAAACCCATACTTTTAAAGCTATCGATCTTATTAAAACAGGGTTCATTTCCCTTATGCCAAGGACAGAAAACAGCACTAGGACTTTAACATGAAGCAAGACTGTGTAAGTGACGCGATTAAAATGATAAGTGGGATGGCGTCTCACGGAGGGAGCTGGATGGGTTATGGCAGCTAATTAGGCTATTTGGCAGATGCCGAACCCTATCTGTTCTCACCCAGGCTCCACCCAGCAGGAAAATCTCTTAAGGTTTTCTTTTGAAATTCTCCTTTGTGGTACCTTTGTAACAGGAGTCCGCGGTTCCCCATCAGGATCCAGCCGCATAATTGCTTCTTCTAGCCGGCCGGTGGGAGTGATCAGCTCCTGCAACAAGAATGGCCAACGTTAGCCCCGGACAAACCATCCTGTCTCTTAAAATCAATCCACGTGGGGAGTGGAGAACTGCAGAAGAGCAGCGAAGGGGAGCCCATGGTCAGTGCTGGCCGTAGAGCCCCAGCAGGTAGAGTGTCCTGTGTCCTGCCGTGGCCAGTGCCCCTGCCTGCGCCACGCTTGCCCCAGCAAGCCTGGGCAAGAGGCGTAGCAGCCAGGTAAGGTCCACCCTTCGCATGACACATGGGGAGGGAAGGCAGCTCCTGGCCCTGGCTGTTAAAGGCACAGCAAACCTGTCTCCCGTAAACACACCCTCTCGTTAATCTCTCACCTTGAAGCACACCTCCGTGCTATTCAATGCTTATTCTAAGGTTGCATATATCACCTCTTTAACATGAAGAAAAACCCCAAATATACCAAATGCTCCCTTTGCAAATTAACTCATACTCCCCAAGTAGTTTTCATTTCCTTCCTATGGCTTTTTACCATTTTTTAAATTTCAGTAATAAATTTTTGAAGTTTTCTACAATATTTTTTTTTCAAGTTTTCGATAACAAGTTTTCTTCTTCCTGTGCAGAGTCACTCTTGGCCAATGCTAGGTCAAGAAAGCAGCATCATCTTGGCACTACGTGCAGCATAACCAGCTGAGAACCCAGCCACCTTGCTTTGCTCTGCACCCTTCTTACCTGAGACATAACACCATCTTGCTCCATCGTGGTGGTCACCGTCCCGTACCCGTCCAACCTTATCTGTGGCAACACAATTTCACATCTCCCGGCTGCCACAGACACCACCAGTTGAAATGTCTCATATGCAGGTGAGCAACTATTTTATAAACTGACTCAGAGCCCCACCTCTGCCTGATTTCTTAAACCCAGTTATTCCCCTCCCATTTTCTTATACTGGGAAACTGAACCCTGTGGTCGAATAAGTAGCAAAAAAAAAAAAAAAATAGCTTTGCCTGCACAGCAGGTAGAAGTATGATGTTTGAGTCACTGCCCAACACTGGCCAGTGGCAGGTTTATGACTAATGGTGAGAGCAGGATGCCCTTTTATCTGAACTTTCCACGTACCAAGACCTCAAAGCCTACAGAAACACATGATCTACAATAAGACACAGCAAAGGTACATTAATTGGATTTAGGTTATCTGTGACAGTAAGCAGGTAGGATACAACAATAAAAGAGGGACACTATTGCTCTCAGACTAAATTGGCTCTTGCAAAAGCCAGCTTAAGGGTTTCTGTACCACATATCCATGCAGAGCAGACACACTCATATGGTGGTTTGTATCTACTCATCTTTGGTCCACCAGGGCTAAGTCTCTCCTCAAGTCATTGTGTTCCTCTCCCCTTCTTTCCTATGGTTTGTTACCATTGCTTTGGTTTAGAGGAAGAGTCCTGAAGCAATGACTTTCCTTAGCTTAGCTCCACACCCTCTGAATACTTCTGCGCCACTTTAACGGCTCAGACTGGCTGTAATCTGCCTGCATTTAAGTGCTCGTGTCTGACCCAATGAACCCTGCCAGCCAGAGGCAAAACTCAGCACCAGCCACACGCCGCCCTCTCCACTGTCCTCATCACACCTGCAAAGCCACCGTCACGGCAGGACACCTGCCCCTGAGGACACCCTGCTGACTCCTGTGCCATCAAAACCTGCACAGCTCCCAACTTGCTGGAACAGGATTAAGTAACAAAGGCTGTCAAACATTGTTGTATCTTCAGCAGGTCACAACAGATCAAAACCGCTGAGGAGAAGGAATCCTTTGGCTTCCCTGGTCGCCTGATATATTGTCTATGAACAAAAGGTTCCCTGAGCATTCCTTGAGCTTCCTGGTTAAACATTGTCTATGCCCGTCTCTGAGCCAATGAACCCTGCCAGCCAGAGGCAAAACTCAGCACCAGCCACACGCCGCCCTCTCCACTGTCCTCATCACACCTGCAAAGCCACCGTCACGGCAGGACACCTGTCCCTGAGGACACCCTGCTGACTCCTGTGCCATCAAAACCTGCACGACTCCCAACTTGCTGGAGCAGGATTAAGTAAGAAAGGCTGTCAAACATTGTTATATCTTCAGCAGGTCACAACAGATCAAAACCGCTGAGGAGAAGGAATCCTTTGGCTTCCCTGGTCGCCTGATATATTGTCTATGAACAAAAGGTTCCCTGAGCATTCCTTGAGCTTCCTGGTTAAACATTGTCTCCAGCCGGCACAGCTCCCCTCTGCGCATTCCCACGCAAAATAATATCAACAGTCATCACGGTCAACTCGGTGGAATAAATTTTTGCTATAGGCTATGTTATTTCACAACCCTTCAAAGGGCTGTGTCTACATGCATGGCATGTTTCCTCCATGTGCCAGCTGCAATTACGTAGCTTAATGAAACGCATTTTTCATTAGGTCATAGAAAACCCTGGGCAGCATTGGCATCTTTCAGCCATAGTTAAAGGCAGTGCTTTATTACGACACCTCATTGGAGGGTTAAGCTATAAACTAGACTGTCCACCAGGACCAAGGCTCTAAGACTGTCACTACCACAGTGCTGGTGGCCAAAAAACTCTTTTTTTTTTTTTTTTTTTCCCACAAATAACCATTGCAATCCACATCAGAAACAGCCCTTTCAGGAGGGAGGGATTGTGGCTGACTCGAACCCCTGCAATCCATCTCTGAGGCATTCCTTTATCCATGATGCTTACACCAAATATTTGCTATGCTCTTACACTCTTGCAGAAATAACAACAGTTTTGTTTTCCTGGAACAAGGAACACACTGTGATTTTGGAGATATTACTGAAATGTCTGAAAGTGTGGAGCAAGGCAGATAACTTTCATTTTGCAAACAAGCCTTTATTGTCCGGTATTGTATACATGAAATATTTGCATGGAAATAACATTTCTGCAGAGCTGGAGGTGGCATGAATTTATGGCCAAAAACTATCTTTATTTTTTCACACCAGGGATTTCAGGTTCAAATGCTGACAATTCCCAGGGTGATATGCAGACCACGTAGCACCATATTTCGGATTATGACTAGTGAAACTACCACAGAACAAAAAAGCCCAGCAGAAGTGTGTATTTGCTTAAAACCTAAAGAGTTTTAAATGGTAATATTTATGCTCTGATCTTTAGGCTTGCAACATTAGGCTGAAGTTGCACAAAAAAAGTAAGGTTTGGTTTGACAACATAAATGACAAAAGCGCTGGCAAAAGTCATTGTAAACCAATTTGTAAAGATAATTTGTCATTGTTTCTTGCCAAAATGAAAATCCTCAGAGTGTCATTTTGCACTAGGCCAAACATGTTATTTGACTGTAAATGAAACCTATTATTTTCAGGTTGGGTTCCCTGGGCTGACGAGGTAGGCGGTCGATTAAAAAGAAGCTATGTTTCAAAACAAAGATGTTTTGTAAAATATTAACATGAAATGTTTCAACTTACCCAAGTATTTTCACTGGTTTATTTTAGCCACAGATTATGACATCTAGTTGATTGATTTTTTTTTCACTGAATAGACTCTTTTTCCAAAATTTTCCCTGTTTTCATTAGGAAACAAAACTTTTAGTAAAAAAGTGTATTTTCAATTTGACTTGCTCCTGCAATACATAAGTCGTTATGGATTTATCATTTTTACAGCTTACCCTCAACACTTTAAACAGTTCAGAAAGGACACTTTCCATAAATGAGAAAATGAAGAAAGTTTAGGAATGCAAACCCACAACAAATTTTATTGGTGGTTTTGTGCTAGATTCCATGGAGGGTCTGTTCAGACTGTTTTAAGATGGTCTTAGTCGATGCAGACTACTAAATCACACCTGCTTATCTGCACAGTTTGACAGGCAGAATTAAACAAATAAGCATTTTGTTGATGAGAGATGTCCTTAACTAGTGGAAGTAAAATATCTGCATTTCAAGCACTTTATCTTTTTAATTTCAGAAAGGAAGTTTAATATGAGAAGTAATTCAACTTCTCAAAAAAATCCCAGATATTTTGAAAGCTTCAAAAGAAAACAATGAATTGTATATACTGTCTCAACACAAAACAATCCAAACTGACATAAATTCACAGAAAATTTTGATGTGCCCACCTTTCGCTGGAAAAAAATTCTTACATGAAAAATCTTAGGCCACTTCCTCCCAAGTTGCTCTGTCCCATCTACGTGTGATTCATTCACAGCCCAAGGCAGCCCAGGAGGTGGACGCCATTCACGGGGCTGGCTGTGTCCACGCTCCTGTCCCTATTACATTTCCAACCTCATTGGCTGCTCTTCAGGACACCTGCAAAATAGAGTTGACTCAGGGATCCAATGCCAGCTTCCAGTCATGTCTCAGGTTTTCTTCATTTTCCAGGGTTGGATGCACCATGTGTTCCACAAAGAAGAACTGTAGGGAGCAGAAGTTTATACTCCCTTTTTATGGCCTGTAGGTGTGGTGGCTGGGTCGTATAACTGTAGTAGTGTGGTGGTAAAAAATTATTTTCCTATTTGTCATACATTATAATAAGTTAGGCTTAAAATAACACTATTTTTAAAATCTAACAAGGATTTTAAGTAAAGAGTGTTCTACAGACAACCTTAACTTGGGGAACAAATGTGAAAACTTCCCAGGCAATGCCTTTGCCTATAGAGGCCATTCTTGGGAATGGAAAAAAACCCAACAAAACACTGAGCCCCCGGAGTAGTTTCCTTCTGTAGCGCAGAACGGCCAGTGTTCAAAAAGCTATGTCCCTTCTGTTTCCTAGAGCATGAAAAACTCCTCTGAGAAGATAGGGGCAGTTGGATGGGTGATCAGCAGTACATGTTTTGCCTCCTCCTTTGCATGGCTGTCTGCAAGGCCTGCATAATGGTCTGTGAGTTGTTCAGGATGTTGTATTCGCTGAGGTTCAGCAGCCGGCGGTAATTCTCATCGCTATACCTGACTGAGAACATGCAGTAGGGGGAAAAACGACTGGTCAAATCAAGTTGTCCTCCCTCCATCTCTGAGCAACAGCGCTTGACACCTGGAGAGAAAGAGAAGTTGCTGGTGTGACACGGTGTTTATCTCAGTCAGTGACGAGCCCTCCACAGCAGCCTAAGGAGGGGAACTTTTCTCTGGAAGAAAACTCATAGCATTTAAATGCACAAATAATGCAGGCCGTGTATCCCTACTCCTAGTCAAGAGAACATCATGTGCCCCAAGTGATGAGGGCAGAAGGATGAAGTGAGGGACAGCATTGTAACGGTTATCTACAGCTTATTCATAAACATCTGTCTTATTAAAGCCATGGATCAGTCAAGGATATCAGCCTGAAAGGGCACTCCAACAGCCACTGCTGGAGCACTGCAGGTTTTATCCTGAGCAGCTGGGACCTCTACAAACCCTGGCTGAGTGAGGGGAGTTGCCAGTAACAGAATAGAATTTACGAAAACCTCCCAGGCAATGCCTTTGCCTATAGAGTCCATTCTTGGGAATGGAAAAAAAACCCAACAAAACACTGAGCACCCCCGGAGTAGTTTCTTTCTGTAGCGCAGAACGGCCAGTGTTCAAAAAGCTATGTCCCTTCTGTTTCCTAGAGCATGAAAAACTCCTCTGAGAAGATAGGGGCAGTTGGATGGGTGATCAGCAGTACATGTTTTGCCTCCTCCTTTGCATGGCTGTCTGCAAGGCCTGCATAATGGTCTGTGAGTTGTTCAGGATGTTGTATTCGCTGAGGTTCAGCAGCCGGCGGTAATTCTCATCGCTATACCTGACTGAGAACATGCAGTAGGGGGAAAAACGACTGGTCAAATCAAGTTGTCCTCCCTCCATCTCTGAGCAACAGCGCTTGACACCTGGAGAGAAAGAGAAGTTGCTGGTGTGACACGGTGTTTATCTCAGTCAGTGACGAGCCCTCCACAGCAGCCTAAGGAGGGGAACTTTTCTCTGGAAGAAAACTCATAGCATTTAAATGCACAAATAATGCAGGCCGTGTATCCCTACTCCTAGTCAAGAGAACATCATGTGCCCCAAGTGATGAGGGCAGAAGGATGAAGTGAGGGACAGCATTGTAACGGTTATCTACAGCTTATTCATAAACATCTGTCTTATTAAAGCCATGGATCAGTCAAGGATATCAGCCTGAAAGGGCACTCCAACAGCCACTGCTGGAGCACTGCAGGTTTTATCCTGAGCAGCTGGGACCTCTACAAACCCTGGCTGAGTGAGGGGAGTTGCCAGTAACAGAATAGAATTTAAGTGAGAAAGGAGTAATAGAAACATGAATACTTAAAGTTCCTGCAACCAGGAATACAGTCTCATGGTGCCTGACATCAGAATCCAGTTCTGCCTTTCCATTTCTTGTGTCTCCCAAATTCCACAAAAGCAGAATTTTAGACTTTACCTCCCTGCTACCAAGGAGCAAAGCAAATGCATCCTAGTAACTGGTAGTAAAGGAGACAAATACAAAGCGGGTGGCCTGGCAGAAAAGGAATGCCAGGCCCAAAGCACAGCACAATGAGTGAAATGACCCCTGGGCTGTTGCTGTACCAAAAGGAGACATACGGGTCTTTACACCACAGGAGTCCAGCCTGAAAACCAGGTTTTTGCTCCTCGGTCATTCATACATAACATTATGCCTCCTCAAGCGTAGAATGAAATCCCTGGACAACAGACAATAGAGGTAGGGAAAAATAAGAGAGAAAGAGAAGTTGCTGGTGTGACACGGTGTTTATCTCAGTCAGTGACGAGCCCTCCACAGCAGCCTAAGGAGGGGAACTTTTCTCTGGAAGAAAACTCATAGTGTCTAAATGCACAAATAATGCAGGCCGTGTATCCCTACTCCTAGTCAAGAGAACATCATGTGCCCCAAGTGATGAGGGCAGAAGGGTGAAGCGAAGGACAGCATTGTAACAGTTATCTACAGCTTATTCATAAATATCTGTATTATTAAAGCCATGGATCAGTCAAGGATATCAGCCTGAAAGGGCACTCCAACAGCCACTGCTGGAGCACTGCAGGTTATCCTGAGCAGCTGGGACCTCTACAAACCCTGGCTGAGTGAGGGGAGTTGCCAGTAACAGAATAGAATTTAAGTGAGAAAGGAGTAATAGAAACATGAATACTTAAAGTTCCTGCAACCAGGAATACAGTCTCATGGTGCCTGACATCAGAATCCAGTTCTGCCTTTCCATTTCTTGTGTCTCCCAAATTCCACAAAAGCAGAATTTTAGACTTTACCTCCCTGCTACCAAGGAGCAAAGCAAATGCATCCTAGTAACTGGTAGTAAAGGAGACAAATACAAAGCGGGTGGCCTGGCAGAAAAGGAATGCCAGGCCCAAAGCACAGCACAATGAGTGAAATGACCCCTGGGCTGTTGCTGTACCAAAAGGAGACATACTGGTCTTTACACTGCAGGAGTCCAGCCTGAAAACCAGGTTTTTGCTCCCCCATCATTCATACATAACATTATGCCCCCTCAAGTGTAGAATGAAATCCCTAGACAACAGACAATAGAGGTAGGGAAAAATAATCTGCATAAGCAATACTTTTCCCAGGAAAAAACAAAAACAAAACCTTTTTGCAGTCAGCTAGCAACACTTTATGTTACAAGTGGGAGAGAGATGAAGGTAAACACCATCCAGAAGACAAAATGAAGTGAGGGACAGCATTGTAACGGTTATCTACAGCTTATTCATAAACATCTGTCTTATTAAAGCCATGGATCAGTCAAGGATATCAGCCTGAAAGGGCACTCCAACAGCCACTGCTGGAGCACTGCAGGTTTTATCCTGAGCAGCTGGGACCTCTACAAACCCTGGCTGAGTGAGGGGAGTTGCCAGTAACAGAATAGAATTTAAGTGAGAAAGGAGTAATAGAAACATGAATACTTAAAGTTCCTGCAACCAGGAATACAGTCTCATGGTGCCTGACATCAGAATCCAGTTCTGCCTTTCCATTTCTTGTGTCTCCCAAATTCCACAAAAGCAGAATTTTAGACTTTACCTCCCTGCTACCAAGGAGCAAAGCAAATGCATCCTAGTAACTGGTAGTAAAGGAGACAAATACAAAGCGGGTGGCCTGGCAGAAAAGGAATGCCAGGCCCAAAGCACAGCACAATGAGTGAAATGACCCCTGGGCTGTTGCTGTACCAAAAGGAGACATACTGGTCTTTACACTGCAGGAGTCCAGCCTGAAAACCAGGTTTTTGCTCCCCCATCATTCATACATAACATTATGCCCCCTCAAGTGTAGAATGAAATCCCTAGACAACAGACAATAGAGGTAGGGAAAAATAATCTGCATAAGCAATACTTTTCCCAGGAAAAAACAAAAACAAAACCTTTTTGCAGCCAGCTAGCAACACTTTATGTTACAAGTGGGAGAGAGATGAAGGTAAACACCATCCAGAAGACAAAGGCTGTGTCTGTCCTCTTAGAGCCACGAAATGGCGTGAATGAACACACTAGCTTTGGCACAGATGGGAAAACAGGTTTAATTAGCTAAAGTGCTCCCCCATGAACCCAGCTAGCAAAGACAGACAGCAGCAGAGAAAAAGACTCCATCTGAGTCAGGGAAGCAGGTAGTGGTGTCTTTTGATTAATGCTTTGCCACTGCTTGTAACTTACCAGGTGCTTTGTACTCTCGGAAGGTATCATTCACAAGGGGAAGAAAAATCACAATCGGACATCCTGGCAAATCGGAATCTTGGAAGACGTAGCACTCTTTCAGATTTTTCTTATCTTCATCAGACAAAGAAATTTTGGGGAACGGGATGTTCTGCTCTGAGTAGTATTTGCACATCTTATCTAGGTTCTGGAGTAGTATCACAGAAATGGTCAGCATTGGAATTCAACTTGGTTGTCTTAAAGCCCCCAAATTGTTATCTAGTATTAAAGTTTAGAGACTCAGATGCACTACTCTACACATAATTACCATACAGAGTAACCGGAATACTAACCACAAGCTGTAAACATAATTTCAGAGATAGAGAATACATGAAGGACACTGCTTTTTAAAAAATTGAATCAATCTGCAGTTTAGGGTAAAGCATATAGTTTTAGTAAATGAAAGAGCCTCTGTTTAATATATTATATAGAATTAATTAGAAATGAAAACCATGGCAAGAAAATGTTTAAGGTATCATTATGCGCTTAGAAGCCAGAAGATAAGAAAGTTAGGTTTGAATGGGCAATCATGTCTCTGCCTGTGTAAACATTATGGCACAGTGTTAATTGATATTGACATTTTACTGAGAAAGCCTGAAATACTAGGTTATAGTATCTTTTCCCTGAGATGTGTAATACAGCATCATTTCCAACTATGTACTGTGTTATTTGCTCTGCACTATCCAATGGTGGACACTATCAAATAGGAAATAGTTTATACCAAAGTGCTTAAAACTACAGCAGCCTTTCTTCATAAAATTAATCTAGACAATGTATGAGGCTGAAATTAAACTTCATTACATGTATGTTTTATGCATCAGATGGCTTATTAACCATAGCAGAGCTGTTCTCACTCACAAAATATAATTCCACTTAAGCAGGCCAACATGATTTTTAGCATGATTATTAGTGAGTTTCTAACAAACCTCAGCCTCTGAGATACAAAGACCCAAACTTCTTTTCTGCACGGCCCCCTGGACAGCTAATTAACTTTATGAAACTGGAGTTTCTGCAGTAAGATGCTTGTCAATAAATTTTCCTAATAGCATCTCATTTGTCAGCCCAGAAATGATCTGCTCATGACTATCCACTTAACCCCTTTTATATTCTGACTTAAGTCAGGAGAAATCTCTTCCTCCTCTTTATGCATATTCCTGTGCAAGGTCTGGAAACCCGCTTGATTCAGCATGAAGCAGAAGAGGCTCTTCCCATAGTTCTGGAAGAGACTATGCTAATGTCCTCTTGAATAATTCATCATTTTCATAAACCAGCAAGAGAGATTCCAGGAGCGGCAGGAAGAAATAGGAACAATATTAATCATTACAGTGAAAAACATAAGAGAATGCAATAGTTA